TTACACAGCAGAATCCAGCTCTCGTGTTACAGCAGTAAAATGAACAATGAATTCTCAGAGATGACAAAAGTTGTATTGTCAGGTGCATTCGGAAAAAGGTAGTATTGACCATGAGAAGTGGGTTTCTAAGCACAAGTAACCCAACACCAAGGGGTGCTCTTAGCATCAAGTGCAGCTTTCTGTATGGTTTTAGCAGACACTACTTCATATGTTATGGGTGATATAAATTGAGAAAGTGCAGTTGTTACAGGTGGCGTGAAAGACAAGCTACATAGGATGTGGATTAGAATCTAAAATACTTATTGTGTCAAGGCCTGTACATCTTATTGTGGTAAAGTGGTAGACCGTACTGCTATCCACAGTTTGCCAAACTGATAAGTAATGTACACGAAGAATCCATAAGGTGATCAGCCCTGTCTTTGATTTGAGGACAACCATGTCAGTAGGGCTCAAACTGTAGTACCATACATGTGTGTGTGTGAGTTATAGTGTAACAGTATATTTGTACAACCTTGGGTAAGCTTCCTGGTGTGTACCAAGAATCGTCCTTGGCTCAAACCTCCTTCTTGCAGCCAATAGCAGGGATTACAAGGGTTGTTTGGGGTATCAGATTCTAGCTGAGGAATTTGTAGTGGTAAATGCCAGACCCTCACAGGTCATAGTATACCTGCAGTATGTCTTACAGTGTACTTGTCCCAAGGCTGGTAACAATGCCATGACTGAGTGAGAGCAGTTTTAGTATTGAGCTATGCAGACATTACTGTCAGGAAAGCCAATCTTTCTTTTTGAGAATCTTTTATTCATTTGAAACAACATTGCAGAAATACACATTTTCGAATGTTACACATGTACTCCTAAACTGCGTTGTTCGTTACAAATCAGATCTGTATATACAGTGCACGTTTGAAAAACATCATTTTTCATTGCCGTAGAATTCTGTTTGGAATTTGTCTACTTCACGCAATATGGGACATTCTGAAGTACACGTGTTACATAAACGTGATGCCAGTACACACATTTCACTAGCACAAACTAGGCTAGACAGACATCAACAAAACAGCTCAGTCTTGTGTTTATATTCTGATGACATGACCAGTCCTATGTTTGGTTAAGACTTTGATCTGAAGAGTACATATTACTATTTACTTTTCATCAGTGATAGTCAGCCTTAATTGATAAGCCATTTTAAGGACTGTGAGTTATAATTTGATTTAGTAGTACCTGGTACAAATATGACCATTAGAAAATGCATACTTGAAGAGCCATGTTAAAGTCATCTGATAGGTTAGTAGCTGTTTATTATAGTAAATGTCACAAATACATTGACTTAATGCAACATGTTGTTGTTTTGTTCCAGGTACAGGCAACATCACAATTTTAATGTGATCCATAGTGATACTTACTTTATTCTGAGTGGTAAAAATGGAAAAAAATGTCTTTGCAGGTATCCAGAAAAGTAAGTATTTCGATGCCTGCCATTATTTTCATATTTGTAAGAACTTGTTGATTGTTGTTTACCCCAGGTACTGGAAACATTGTGGCCATCATGATCTCCCGAGCCAAGGGTCTGGAGATCGTGACCCTGCTGGAGAACGGCACCCAGGTCATGATGCACATCACCATGGGAACCCACACCCGCTACAAGGTCATCGACAAGACCTCCGTCCTCTTTGTCTCCATCTCCTTCATCGTGCTGATGATCATCTCCCTCGCCTGGCTCGTCTTCTACTACATCCAGCGATTCCGCTACGCACATGCCCGCGACCGCTCACAGGTAAGCTTGCTGGGAGACTATGGGAGAACAGCTCTGTATCTCCCTCTCCCTTTCTCCCTCTCTCTCTCCCTTCTCTTCTCTTCCTCTCTCCTTCCTCTTCTCCTCTCTCTCTC